GTGTGTGTGTGTGTGTGTGTGTGTGTGTGTGTGTGTGTGTGTGTGTGTGTGTGTGTGGCAGCTAGGCCCTGCTGGAGTGGGGGGCCTAGCTGCCAGGGCTACAGGGCTAAGGACCCGGGTGCGCAGCCCTCTATCCCCAGCAGCACCCAAACCCCAGCTGCTGCCCATGGGGGACAGAGCTACTGTGGCAGAGCAGAGCCTGGCTCCCCCTCCCCCAGCCCCGTGGGCAGCACAGCCAAAGCAGAGTACATGGGGGTGGAGGGCAGGACCTGGCATGGCAGAGCAGAGCGGGGCCATGCAGAGAAGCTTGGTGCCACCTCTGGGAGCTCTGTACCACCATGCAATGTGCCTCCTGCCCACCCAGCAGTAGCAAGGGGCACAACTCCACACTGCCGCCCCTGCTGCTGCCAGATGGGCAGGGGGTGCTTTGCTGGGGTGACACAAGGCTTGCAGCAGCAAGGAACTTTCCCACCATGCTCTGCCCCCGCACTCTGGACTAGCTGCCCATGGCCCCATCCTACTCTGCCTGGGCCCTGCAGCCACGCGTTTCGGCCCTGGCCTCAAGCCCTACACAACACCCAGCTGGCAGCAGCCCCATCCCCAGCCCTGCCCAACTGCCTCCCTTTGGGGGCCTCAATCTCCCCTCTCCCATGCCCAGACTTAGTGCGGGAGCTGCTCTCTGTGCTGCCTGGCTCCCATGTGCACATGATGTCCTCCTCTCGGGGCTTTTCCCTCCACCTCTCACAGGAGGAAAAGGATAAACTATCTGGAAATGAAATACAGGATAAAGTACCTTCAAAATACTCTTCAGAAAAGCTGAATTCCCAGTCCCATGCAGTCCTGTTACAGGTTCATCTGGAGCTTCTGAGGAGCTGAGTATTGGTACTTTGCTGCCTAAGTCTAGAACCTTCTAACATGTTCTCACTGTTGGATCTCTGAGTGTGAGATCTTTCTTGGGATCAGGACAACTGATTAGGTGTCTTTGGTCCTGGTAACATGGCCTGTGTGTTCCTTTATTGATACCAAGTCAAGATAGGGTTCTGACTTCTCTCTAAGTATTCATCTCTAATAATATCTACTGTTTTGAGATGTCATATTCTTCACCTGCATCATCAGTTAGTGGAAATATAGATATTCTCTGAAAATGCATTCTCTTTGGCTTAGGTCAAATAGAGATGGTCTAGGGTGTTACAACATTCTAGACACAGGGGTTACCAGCCCAGTATGCCAGGGTATGCTTTCCCATAACAACCAGTGTACTGGGGTCCCTGAGACCTGTACATTTGACACTGTCATTAAGTATATTACTCCAAGGAGAGTAGAAGGCATAACCCCATTTTATTCAAGAGGCAGCACATCCTTCAACCAAAGCCATCTGTGAATCTTAGAAGATAACAGGCCATGTTATGGCCTATTTTATAGACTTATGCTTAAGCGGCTTCCCTTAAGATGCCCCCATCATTGATACAGGTAAGGTAGTGATAGAAAGTTCCCTTCATGCCTTTTATAAAAGGTATTACATGCAAGTACAAGCATCTGCTTTGTTCACTTCTTTTGAAAGAGCAGCCCTTCAGTCATAGAACCATAAGAAATTAGTGTTGGAAGAGACCTCAAGAGGTCATCTAGTCCAGCCCCCTACTCAAAGCAGGGCCATCTCCAATTAGACAATCCTAGCTAAGGCATTGTGTAGCTGGGTCTTTAAAACCTCCAAGGACGGAGATTCCTTAGCCTCTAGGTAGCCTGTTCCAGTGCTTTACTACCCTCCTAGTGAGAGTTTTTCCTAATACCTAACCTAAACTTCCCTTGCTGCAACTTAACACCACTGCTCCTTGTTCTGTCATCTGCCACCACTGAGAACAGTCTGGCTCTAACCGCTTTGTAACTGCCCTTCAGGTAGTTGAAGGCTGTTATTAAACCCTGCCCATAGTTGATCTTTGCTCTTCTCCAGATTAAATAAGCCAAGTTCTCTCAACTTCTCTTCAGAAGTCATGTTCTCCAGCCCTCCTCGTTGCCTTCTGCTGGACTCTCTAATTTGTCCACGTAATTTCTGTAGTGGGGTGCCAAAACTGGACACAATACTCCAGATATGACCTCACCAGTGCTGAAGAGAGGGGAAGAATCACTTCCCTTAGTCTGCTGCAGCACTCTTACTAATGCAGCCTAGTATGCTGTTAGCCTTCTTGGCAATGAGGGCATGCTCTTGGCTTATATTCAGTTTATTGTCCAGTGTAACCTCCATATCCGTTTCTGCAAAGCTGCTGCCCAGTCAGTCAGTCCCCAGTCAGTAGTAGGGACATATCCAGTGTGCCATCTTGGTTGATACACTGATTGGGAATTGGCCATAATGAAATACACACATGGCAAGCCCTTGAAAAAAGGAAGAAAACTCTCTTTTGCAGTAAAATATGTGTGGTCCCCTTGTGTATTCCACCCTCTGGTCTCCATCCTTTGTACTTCAGATTCTGTTCTGGAAGACATGTAGAGTAACACAGTAGAGAAGGAACTGGAGGGGTGGTTGGCCTTGCACTTTGTACTGTCACTACAATGCAGAAGGAGAAGCAGAGCATATACACAAATTACATCATGGGTAACTGGTGCCACCTGACTGAGGGAGGGTTCCCCCCCCCCCCGCAACCAATCTCGCTGACTGGGGGTGGGAGGCTCCCAGAAGTGCTAGTGGCCCCCATTCCCAGGCCAGTGTTCACAGGGGAGGCACCGGAGCTGCCACCTGCCCCTACACCTAAGCAGGAAGTGCACCAGCACACTTAGGGGGTGCACATGTACCCCCTACGCATCACCACTGGATCACATGGACACCGCACCGTACCTAGACTCCTGGCAACCCCAGGCAAACTTTGAGTATCGGGCCCCCCTTCACCAGAGAGAATTATGATGATCAAAAATTACCATTTTGGGGCCCCCTTTCTGTCTGGGCCCTGGGCAGCCGCCTGGTTCACCCATGACTATGTCTGGCCCTGCATGGACACAACTAGCAAAATTACTCTGGTCTCTGGGCATAGAGCATGTGAATCCAGAGTAGAGTGACATCACATCTGAAATAACTTGAGTAACTGTGGGAGTAAGTAACTTTTCTTTGCTGTGCTAAATTCACTTGATGTTTCTGTTCCGCAGGTCTTATTGATGGTTATGCAGACGAAAAAGCATTTCTGGAAAAACTTATCCAGGAAAAAATAGATGTAATAGACCATCTTGAGCAAGAGCTGCTCTGTACAGGTAACAAATTGCAGGAACTAGAGGCTGAGCGACAGCAGATTCAGGAGGAAAAGGAGTTACTCTGCAGACAAAAGGATGCCATGAAAGCAAGTGCAGGATCTGCGGAACAACGTACGTACTCATCAGAATCTTTCTGTGAGGTTCTCTCACATTTTACTGTTGAACTTCTAATACATCTGCAGAAGCCTTAGCTACCATGTTCCTTTTTTATATCCTTCATAGAAAAGTACAACGTGGCCAACATTTCATACTTGAGCAACTGTTGGTGCCAAACCCTGTATTTAGCCATCTGAACAAAACTAGTTGATACTCAGATTTCAGCCCAGTCACAGCTGCTAGTAAAGCCAGTAAACAGCTGTTGTTGCTCAGCGGTTTTGAAAAAGTGGTCACTTTCATTTACCTGCCCAAATTTAGCTTTAAGTGCTGACTCTAGAGAGATCCAAATATGGAAGTGATGGCCTATATATGCTCCTTCTAAGAATAGTTACAGAGATCTGCTATCATAGCTTCCTCAGGAAAACCTGTTCAGGTACACTGGATTGATATACATGCTCATTTAGGCATCTGGTAAGGCACTGAGGAAGGCTTCCTCATAGAATTCATTTCAGGGACTCAGTGGTAGGGTAGAATGCAAAAAAGATTGCATGAAAAGAAAAAGGCATTATCTCCACATAACCAATATTACTCACTCAACACTCCCAAAAATAATTATGTACTCTGGAGAGAAAATATCTTTCAACCTTGAAGAGATACCTTCTATTGATTATCATAAAGAAGGACCACTCCCCAGTAGTTTACTCAACAAATGTTTACTTTTATAGAAGTAAATCCTCCTTCAACAAAAAAACTAAATATCTTTGATTTAGTATTTGTTAAGAGGGAAAAATTAGGGCAGTAATGTTTAAACAGTGCCTATCTCTTGGAAATTAGCGCTGGGAATGGAGTATCAAATGCTAACATTTTATTTTGTGACCAAGAGTTTGTGAACATTGCAAATACTAAAGATCTTCAGAACATTTCTTGTGAACATGTATTCAAACTGTTGTTCAGTCATAAACTATACCATCCATGATCTGTTTGCAATCTCAACCTTCTATATTTATGAAACAGATATTGTTAATGGCAATCTGTTAATTCCTATACTTCAGCAAAGCAATCCCAGTTTACAGTTTTGGTGGTTTTATATACCTTATAAAATGATTTGGAAATATAAAAATGTGTTTTATAATTATGGAGAAAAAGTACATATATATCATTCATATCAGAATAACACAACACATTCCTTGAGTTATCACTACAACTTTGTCATTAAATGCCATGTCCTCTCTTTCAGCTTCATTTTCTCTTACATTATTGCACCATGATAAAACTGTAGCTGGGCATGTGAATTACTTTGCTTCTCTCTCTTTTTTTTTCTATTTTCCTAGGCCTAGTAGATGCTGCAGTCGATGCAGCTCCCCAAGCAGGTGTGTTTGTATATTGCATGGCCAATCTTTAATTGGGTGGCAGACTTGCATACTGACATTTATTAATCAAGGACTTGGGCTTTCAGCTTATTGACCTTAATTCTTACTGGCCTGCAGCTTTGATATTTATATTTTACACTCACATTTTTCCTTTTTGATAATAGTAATCTCTTATTATTTCTAAGCACAATATATTAATATAGATTTAATAAGCACATCCATTCATAACCATCATCTTATTCACCTTTGAATTGCAAGAGTTCAGGTGGTTTTGGAAGTTCTTAATAGCCTTTTGATCACTATTAACTTGTAAATATAATTAAAATAATCAGTTCTTTACTAAATATTGTTTTATATTGATATGTACTACTTACCTAAAGCGACAAAATTTGGTTAAACATGATGTAAGATGATGGTGTCCAAAGGATATCTCTTGGGTAGCGAAAGAAATTGTACTTATGTGATGGCTTTCCTTTATTATATCCAGTATCAATAGTTTCTGAGAAATTTTTTCAAAATTAATTTAACTTCTTAGTCTTGGGTCTTACCTCAAGGGATGCATAAGATTTGGTGACATGGCCCTTGAAGTATAAACCTTAAGAATCTTGTTAGAATGTATTTGAGCTGTATCATATGTGCTTCCCAACCCTCTATGAGGAGAAAAAAAATCAAAACGGGGGATCTATAAAAACCACTGCTTTTTGAAAGCTCCAGTTACAGGTCAGTAATTTTCCTCGCTGTTTTGTAATCTGATTGAGTGATGCCTTTCAGTAATTCCCTTCAAATATAGCATATACATTTAATATACATATAACAATTGGGAGTGGATTAGTCTTCTGGTAAAGGGGATGAGAAGATGGTTGGGTTTTCCATACCTTGTTATAAAGCTTTGGACCCTCTTCAGTTCTTCCAGGAACCTATATATTTTCCTACATTATGCCAGTCAAACCTCTTTATATTAATATGAAACTTGGACAATAAAGTTACACAACTCTTCTCTAATAGCCTGGCAAAGAAAATAACAGTATTCTAGTAGTTTCTTTTTAGGATTTAGCATGGCTTTGGGGATATTGCAGGTATTTTTATGTGGAAAGTACTAGATTAAAAAAAAATTGTAAAACCCAAGCCTATTCACATCCTTTATCTGGGTACAGCATGGGGACACAGCCTGAGATCTGGATTTGCTGTGATAACATGCAAATCTAAAAGCTATGTTTGGTGCCTTTATAACCAGAATTACTGGAGGAGACAGAAAAACTAATGAAGGAAAAAATAGAAGTACAGCGTCAAGCTGAAAAAGAATATGGTGACCTTCAGAAGCAAGTTAAGGCTTTGGAAACAGACTTGGAGGAACAAGTTAACCGTTTTATAGAGATAGAACAAGAAAAAAATGCAGAATTAATGGATCTAAGACAACAAAACCAGGCTTTGGAGAAGCAGCTTGAGAAAACAAGAAAATTTCTAGATGTAAGTACAATGAAAGAAAGAAAATATTTCATGTAGCAGGATGGCAACCTGTTCTGCATTTTTTTGCAACAGCAAGAAATTCTTTCTCTAAGGCTTTGAACAAAAAGTGGGGTATGGAGTCTATTATTGGCTTTGTAACATGGTGTCACGTCAGGGGATCCACATAGTGCTGTGTTTTAAAAGCAATTTAAAAGCAATCTCAATGCAATTTAATACGCTGGCTGGGAAACATATATTTTTTAATTATTGATAGTTTAAAAATTTTCTTGATTTAAAAAAAAAAAAAAAATCTAGAAATTTCTAAAATTAACCAGGAAAGTCAGTATTTCGCGTTCTTTGTGGCAAGCTGTGTTGTGTTCTCCAGTGTATAGCAGGTTAAGTTGGGATTTTCAAAGTAGGCAAATAAGGTACCCGACTCCCATTGAACTTCAGTGGAAGTTGAACATCTATCTCCATTAGACTGCTTTGAAAATTCCAACTGTGAGCCTTTCATTGGTTTGGGTACACAGAAATTTCCCTGGCAGCCTTTCCAAAGTTGCCTGCTTTATTCCTTTTCCATCTGCTTCACATGCATCTGAAATCATTCCATTTTCTAAGTTTCTCTTGCTACATACTTTGAGTAGCAGTCACAGCTATATTTGCTTCCATTCATCATACCTTCCTTTGCCCTGCCACCAAGTTGTCACTGCAGCATTCTGGGCAGGCTTATGTTCAAACTATATTCCAGCTCACGTTACATCCGTTTCATCCATTTTTTTAACTTTTTTGTTGTTGCAATAATTCATGCAGCTTTTGCACTGTCAGGTAGGTATGATAGCAAGCTGCAGACATCTGACCAAGGGAAGTGGTGCTGGCCCCTACCCTGGGGGTCTTTAAGAAGAGGCTGGATGCCTACCTGGCTGGACTCATTTGAGTCCCGTTTCTTGTTTTGGGGTTTTGTTGTTCTCCCGCCCTGGTGGGGGGTCGGGCTAGAAGATCTACTAGGTCCCTTCCGACCTTAAATCTATGAAACTACGAAACTATGACCTTCAAAGATAGTTTGAAGACTGAAGCTTATTCAAATGAGGGAAATCGACTGGGGTGTGTTGGACTGATTATAATACTCTACCACTTCAGTTCTGTGATGGGAGTCACATCCAGATGTTCAGTTTCTATAGACACAATTGCATTCTCTCAGTAGAAAAAAAGTGTACAGATTAGCAGCAGGTCTTCTTGAGTTTTCTGAGTTCCACCCAATTTACCCTATGTTTATTCTGATATTCTAGTAAATATTTTCTGATTTATTTAAATTTGTTTCACTAAAACTTTTGGAGCTGGGCTTAACTAGTTTTCTTGTGAATGTGAAAGGTATCAGTTAAGACTTAAGTTTCTGTGAAAGCTGCACTTCTGGAAGGCAGGATCTCTTATCTTCCTTTATCATTACAGAATATTGCTTGCCACAACCTTGTTGTTCTCTTCCCAAAATTTATGGTCTTCCCTAAAGAAAGCTCTAGTACCCTCTGGCTGGAAAGCTTGCCTATGAAGATCTCCAGCCATGGGGCTGGAGAAAAATCTGTACAATCCAGCTCCTGGGGTATCTTTCTATCAGAAGAAATATCTTCTGGTAAAAATGAATGTCTGCATGCAGCCAAAGTCTGTGCCACTTGATCCACAATTGTACAGATCTAGATGCCGAAATCACTGCAGAGAAAGAGACGCAGAATACCAGTGTTTCTATGCTAACCCACAGACTGGGTAAAGCAGCACAGAAGACTTGCATAGAAGCTTTCCATCCTGCCTGGAAGTTTGAGACAGTGGGTTTTATGCCATCTTCACAACAACTAGTTACTGCAGCCATGTGTAGGGATCAGTGAAATTTATATTGGCTGGATTATGTTATCCAATTATATTGAGCATTTCATGATGCTTCTTCAGAATAATTTATTATTAAGCAGTGTTAACTAAAGGACCTCTTCAGTCTCTTTTTATCACTTACTTGTACTTGACTTTGTCATCATTTTGTATACTTCCAAAAGTGGTGTTCTACTAAAAATATATACAGGTTTCCCTCACTTTATGCTGTACATGTGCTCCTGGAAAAGGGCGCATAACTTGAATTCGTATAAAGGGAACCCACTTTACAATGTAACAAATAGGGATACATTCCAGGACCTTGACTGTACCCCAGACCCATTTCTATCACTTTTACAAGACAATTTTAGTACTTACCAACAGCAGACAGTACACACAACCACAGGGCACTATCATAATGGGGGTGGCAACTACAGAAACACGTTGTAGACAACGAGCAAGGTCCACATAAGGGACTATATGTTGGTTTGTGTCACTCCCACAATAAACCACACAAAGCAGCTGACTGTGGGCTTCCACCTCACCCATCACATAAGAGTGAATTTACCTCGCATATACTGAATTTTTGGTATAAAAAGGGTCATCGCATAAGAGCGAATTTGCACATACAGAACCTGCATAAAGTGAAGGAAAACTGTACGTTCTTCTTTTCCAGGGCTTGGAATTAGCAGCTCATGTAAAACACGTCACCATAACTTAATTATATTTGGTTGACCTCAAATTGCAGCTTTGATATTGATTGGTCAGAATGCAGATATGCAGATAAAGCCTATAACTGTATTACATTTTCTGGTGGCACTTCAGTAGTAGGCTAGAAGTGAGTACTTTATATCAACAGTTAGTGGAGATTGATGCTGTATCTCAGTGCATTTGACTTCTCTAAAATACTTTGTTTTTTGTGCTAATCTGGCATGAAAAATAGAAAAAAAAATTCTGCAGTGCATTAAAAATTTTACGAATGTCAGCTAGTGCGTCTTGAACAAGTTGAATTAATCAGTGTGAAAGATAAATGAAAATTTGAGCTAGTTTAGTTCTTTTAATCTGGCATTTGGAGTTGGTCCTGGATTAATATTAGTTTGGTTATGGGCCTATTCAGGGTTTAACTTCTACAGGTAAGTTTACATTAGTAAATACATTAAAAAGTAAAGTTGAGGCCTCTTGTTGGCTCTGTAGAGCAGTGGTCTCCAAACTTTTTTTTTGATCGTGCACCCCTATCAGTAAAAAATTTTTGAGCACGCACCCCAAATATATGTATATTTATATTCGCACACCCCATCAGTAAAAAATTTTTGAGCATGCACCTCCAATATATGTATATTTATATAAATATAAATAAAAGTTCTAATATTTTCTTCCCGCACCTCAGTGGTTCACTTTGCGCGCACCCCACTTTGGAGACCACTGCAGTACAGCAGTGTGAATAAAACAAAATAAATAACTCTGATGTCAGTATCACACAATAGTATTGGACCTACTCGTTTTTTTCTGATATTCCAAAAAGTAGCATCAAGTAAAGTGGGCTCCCAAAAGTGGAAAGATTCAAAATAGAAAATGGGATCATCTCGCCTAAAATCCACTGATATAATTAAGACAATAACATTTACCCAAAATAAGATGGCATATGTATGATTTTGAATTTTTTAAAAACACCTGTCCAAGTAACATTATTACAACTAAATTTCAGGAGCAGGCAATTGATAGAGAACATGAGAGAGATGTGTTCCAACAAGAGATAGAGAAACTGGAGCAACAGCTTAAGATTCCACAAAGATTTCAGCCCATCAGTGAGCATCAAACCAGAGAGGTAAGATTTTTGAAGTATAATGCCCTTTTTGGATGCATATAACAAAATCAAATGACTGGGGGCACTGTAAAAAAAATATTCAAATTATTTCATAATGGTGAGAATCAGCCTGTTTTTGCAAAGCAAGAAGGTAAATCTATAGATGAAGAATAAATGGGATTTTGTTTGGGGGGGGGGGGTTGTTTTTTGGAGGTGTGGTTTGAAAATGTAGAATCATACAGATAGAGCATATCAACTTTGGTGTAGTAGGTTCATTTGGAAAAGGTAAATGAAAATTCCTAAGAACTCATAGAAAAGTTAGATCTATTTATCAATGTAATCAGGTTCTTAATATTGGTGCATGTCATTGTTATATCTAGTTAAGCAATATTTGTCTACATCATTACTGGGCCTAAGAATTGAAGCAGAGATGCAGTGACATGTTTTTAACAGAAATTTCTGGTGCTCTTGTATTTTGCATGGGTCTAAAATGTTGTGGGTAGAATTTTAGGGCATTGAACTTATTATTTAAATTATTATTGACTTGAGCAAAGCCAGAATTTCAGCTTCTTGAACAGATTTTCTTATGCTATTGGTAGAGTTGACCTTAAAAGAAAAAAGCAAAACTGGTATATGGTTACATTAGAAAATATTTGCATCTAATGGTTGTTCTAGTGACACTGCAGGCAATTACAATTTTTTATTTTAGTGGGGGGGATGGGTAGAGTTGGTATTTACTATTCAGTGAGTGCTTCTACACATTCATTAATGCGCTTTAGGTAATATACATTAAATCTAGTACCTCCAGGGACCTATACATGAGCACTGAGGCTGCCCTGACGCTCTGGAATTCCTGTGCTTTGTTGCAGATTCGATTAACTGAATCTGCTGGAGTGTGGCAGTTACTGTGCTCCAGCAGCCTCCTGTGCCATGTGCATCAACGTACGCACTTAAAAATGGTGGCGGGGGTGCTTGAACTAAAGCTAGTCAAATGAGGTTTAATTCAAGTGCCCCTGTCACTATTTTCAAGCGTGGGGACACTGATACAGGAGATGCAATGGTACTTTAATTAGCCCAGCTGTCAGAGCCGTTTTAATTAAAGCGCTGCCCCCCCCCACCCCCGGAGCATGTGTAAAAGTGCCTTCCATTGTGAGGTACTAGAAGAATGCATATTGGCCTATTTCAGTGCACATTAGCTAAAGAGCATGGGTTTTTTGATGCTTTAGTGCACATTAAAATAAGCTAATGCACATTAAAGCAAATGTTGTAGACACACCCAATGTGATAAATATTTTTGTTCCAGTCATTTTTCTAACTTAATGTAAATATTTCTGGTTTTGATTGTACCAAAACTAGCACACTGAGTAGCTTGGCAAAATAATTCAAGATATTTTTCTTAAATACTAATAATATTTTATAGATTTTAGTAATCGTATAAAATCTGATGGGAGGATTCAATAATTAGGAAGAAATAAACAATATAAGATGCAGCTTTTCAAGGTACTTGTTTACGAAGTGCTGATTAATCCTTTAGGAGGAATTTTTTAACATAAGATATATTTAGTAAAAGACATGTTAAATCTGTATGTCTTTGGTGTTCTGTAGGCTTCTGTTCTTCCCCCTCTTTTTTTGCAATACATTAATAGATTAAGTGTTTGTGATTGGATACTTGTAATCACATAAAACAGGTTTGTTCTGTAACTTTATAGTTAAGGCTTGCAAATGTCCCCAAAGTTTGTGTTAATGTCTTCTACTTTGAACACCTGCTTAATTTTACCAGTATACGTGGGGATTATCACTCATCAGTTAAAGGCCCCGTTGTTCTTTTATAGATTATTAAAAATTCTAAGAATTCTGGTGAGATCCTTTCTCAATATTTGTATAATGATTTATTGCCAGAGGACTGCTGCAATGAATTGTTCTATAATTGCCACTACTGCATAAAAAGCAAGAAATTCTGTATGTATCTATGTATAATCTGAGACATTACAACATTTAATTGGTAGCATGAATGTTAATTACATTCTAAGAAGGTACTGGTACAAGCAGTTACAGCACTGCAAGTGAGAAATAGTGCTAGTGGTAGCACTAGTACAAAAAGTAAGATTTATTTGATGCATAGAAGTAATCAAGCATTTGTCTTCACTCAAGCTTTGAAAAGCATGGATTGCATATAAAGAACTTTTAAGCAGAAATTCCTCTTGAACTTTACAGAACTTGTCACTGAACATGATGACAGACAGGTAGCATTTGCTCTTGCAAGTTGCATGTGCCATAAAGTTCTGTGATGTGACTGCCATCAATATAGATAAATGAATAAATCTTTATCCATTGAATAGGCAAGGACATGGGGAAACCAATCTAGAGCCAGGAGTGCTGTATCCATTTTCTAGTTTTCCTGCAGTACAGGTGGTCTTTTCAAGCTGCCATTATAAAATTGGATAAAAATATGAACTTCTACTATGATATTCTGGGTGTGTGACAGTGGTACTGCTACAGTATAAAAATGGTTGGCAGAATGCAGGGTAGACATGCGTCTTATAAATTAAATGAATCCTAGATGCATGAGCTTTCATGAGAAGAGTTCACTTCATCAGAGGTTTTGAAAGGACATGCAGAGAACAAACTATCAAATAGAGAGAGTGATTCGAATACAAATGACAAGAAAAGGAGGGAGGTGGGGAATTGGAGGAAGGTGACAATTCTGAGAGAGAGTAATAAACCCAAAGGGACATGGGGGTCAAAAAGGCTATTCCAGGTAATGGGATAAGAATCTGTAGTCCCTGTTTTTACTTAACACAGTCCAGTCTCTGGATGATTTCTTTTTCTCAGTTTTGCATTCAAGTCAGCTTTCAAGTTCTGTTGTTTAAGAATGAGGTCAGTAATGAAGTGTCTGGGAAGGATGAAGTGTTCCACCACAGGGTTTGTTGTGTTTCTTGATATGATGTGTTGTGTTTCTTCAGTGTTTCCTCATTCTTTTGTGTAGGGATTGCCCCATCTGGCCAGTATAAATGGCAGAGGGCACTGTAACCAGGTGATGGGATGATGTTAGCAGAGGAGCAGGTGAATGAACTTTGGATGTTATAAGCCATGTTATTTGGTCCATTCATGATATGGTCTTTGAGGGGCACAGCTTGTACCTAGATCTGTTGCAAGGCCTGTTGCCATGGGGAGAATAAGAGTCTGGTAGCCTTTTGCTAGAGACACTGAGGTTGGGGGAAAATCTGTAAGTCAGAGCAAGTGTGTTCCCCATTGCTACCTTGAGATGGTGGTCATATTAAAGGAGGGATTGGAGGTCATTAATGATGGCTGCTTTTGCAGACATGAAAAACAAACAAACAGTGCTTTACTTTCAACTCAGCATGCCCCCATGCCAAGCACAGCACATGTCCAGAAGAGGCATTGTGTGCGTTTGACCCAGCTCCAACATCTGTATAGATCAGGCTTTTTGGAACTCTTATCTAATAGCCAGAGATCTCTGGAATTTGCTCCAGAAGTGTGCAGCTCAGCCACTTCTTTGATCTTAGAGTTTCCCCTGTGTTCACCCTGCCTCATCGCTGATTGGTGGAGGAGCCCCACTTTCTGCACCTGAAGGCCAGGGGGCACAAATTGTGGCTTAGTTCATAGATTCATAGATTTAGGGTCGGAAGGGACCTAGCAGATCTTCTAGCCCGACCCCCCGCCAGGGCGGGAGAACAACAAAACCCCAAAACAAAAACGGGACTCAAATGAGTCCAGCCAGGTAGGCATCCAGCCTCTTCTTAAAGACCCCCAGGGTAGGGGCCAGCACCACTTCCCTTGGAAGTTGGTTCCAGCTCCTAGCCGCCCTAACTGTGAAGTAGTTTTTGCGGATGTCCAATCTATACCTCCTCTCCATCAACTTGTGCCCATTACTCCTTGTTATGCCAGCGGGCGCTAGGGGAAACAGCGTCTCCCCCAAACCCTTCTGGTCCCCCCTAGTGAGTCTATAGACGGTCACCAGGTCCCCCCTCAGCCTTCTCTTGTGGAGGCTGAATAGGTTCAGGTCCCGCAGTCTCTCACTGTAGGGTCTGCCCTGTTGTCCCCGGATCATGCGGGTGGCCCTCCTCTGGACCCTCTCCATGTTGTCCACATCCCTCTTGAAATGGGGCGCACAGAACTGGACACAATACTCCAGCTGTGGCCTGACCAGCGTCGCGTAGAGGGGGAGGATCACCTCCTTGGCTCTACTCGAGATGCACCTGTGGATGCACGACAAGGTCCGGTTAGCCCTGCCAACCATGACCTCGCATTGTCGGCCCATGTTCATCTTGGAGTCAATAATGACTCCAAGATCTCTTTCTGCCTCCGTGCTCTCAAGTAGGGAGTTCCCCATTGTGTAAGTGTGCTGCTGGTTCCTACTGCCCAAGTGCAGCACCCTGCACTTGTCCGTATTGAAACGCATCCTGTTCCTGTTAGCCCACCCCTGTAACCTATCCAGATCCTTCTGCAATCTCTCACTCCCTGCTAGCATGCTCACCTCCCCCCAAATTTTGGTGTCATCAGCGAATTTAAACAGGTTACTTTCCACCCCATCATCTAGATCGCTGATGAAGAAATTGAACAGCGCAGGCCCCAGGACCGAGCCCTGGGGGACTCCGCTACCCACCTCCCCCCAGGTCGAGTATGACCCATCCACCACCACCCTCTGAGTGCAACCCTTCAGCCAATCTGCAATCCATCTGACTGTGTAGGCATCTATGCCACAGTCGCCTAGTTTTTTAAACCATGGTTTTAACCATGATTGGCAAAGGGACCCCAACTACCAGGTGCAGGCAGCAAGAGTTAAGGCCCCTCTGCCAATCAGTAGCAGGGAGGGACGTGGGGGGGAAATTCCAAGATTAAAGAAGCTGCCATGTCATGCACTTCCAATGTAAAGTCCAAGGATCCTTACTAATAGCTGATTGAATCAGCTTTAGATAAAAGCACCAAAAAGCTCCACTGAAGTACCTAATCTATACAGATGCTCAGAAGCTGGGTCAAACTAACATGCTTCCTCTTCC